AGTACAGGTGTGATTATATAATTGCTTTGAGGAGTAGAAGGAAGATGCGCAAGTAGAGACAGTGAGCCCTAACTGATACAGGAGTTAAACAGAAATTATTTAGGCAGATAGTGAAGGTAAGAAAGCTCTCAGTAGGGTTTTCCTTTTGGTGAAAAGCAGCTTCAAAATCATTTTCTTTTCTAGGCAAAGAACAGACTGTAAAATCAAGCTGGAGATGTCGACAGGCAAGCTGGAAGCTCGCATGGGTGAATGCCAGCGGTTGTGCCAATGGGAAAAGGCTATCTGGGACTAAGCATATTCGAAATGGTGGCTCCATTTTCCCTTTTCCTTTCCAACCATATGTGCAATAGGGAGCAGATAACAAGGCTCCAGCCAATTGGAAAGTCTATTTGCATAACAAGATTAGGGTGGGGCAGCCAGCTTCCCAGCATGTTATAAATGTAAATATGTATGTATTTACGTAAGTATGTAAACATCACACCTCGTCCCACCAATATTTGGGCCCTATGTAAGTCAGATACCTCCTCCTCAAGCCTGCTTATAAAATCTGGTGCACTCCGAGGTGGACCTGAAGTCTCATCTGGGCATCCCTCTCTCTTGCAAGAGAAATAACTGTTCTCCCTTTTCTTTCTTTTGCCTATTAAACCTTCACCCCGAAACTCACTTCCTGTTGTGTGTCTGTGCCCTCAGTTCCCTTTGTGTGAGACAACGAACCTCGGGTATTTACCCCAGACAACGACGATGCTTCATAACTACACTTTGAAACATCAGAGGAAGGAGGAAGAAGGAAAACCAATGATGTCTGGAGTTAAACTCAAAAGAAGAGATTTTGTGGAGATTTTTTGTTAACATTAGTTAGAACAGCAATGTCCAGTATGGTAGCCACTTGTTCTGTAGCTACTGACCAGTTAAAATGTGGCCAGTTCTGAAACAAGAGGTGCTGTGAATTAAAATTTACACTAGAGTTTGAAGATTTGTAATGAGAAAAATAAATCTCAAAAAATTTTTATATAGAATACGATGATACATAACAATTAGGTACACTGGGTTAAATACAACATTTTATTCCAATTGTTTTCACATGCTTCTTTTTGCCTTTTTTAAATGTGCCTGTTTGAAAATATTAAATCATATGCCTGGCAAACATTACAGTTTTACTAGAAAATGCTTAGCTGGAGCATGCTATAGGTGAATAAATAGTTAACAGCAATAATAACATCTATGGCAGGCAGAATTTTAAGGTAGCCTCAAGATCCACTTTTGTGGCATCTTTTCATCTTTGAGTCACTGAGTGAGCCTCCTGAGCATGAAGGGCTACCACAACCTTGAATATAATACTAACCAGTAAACTTTGAGTAAATCAGAACTGGGATTAATCTATATGGCCCTGACCTAATCGGGTGTGCCTTTTAAAGGAAGATAAAGAATCAGACAGCTACCCCATCATGGCCTCAAAGAAGAAGCAGTCAATGACTCTTGAGATGGGAACAAATACTTGAAGGAATAGGTAAGAGTCCAAGCTCCTGGGAAGAAAAAGGTAATGTGAGAAGAAAGTACAGAAATGCTACAAAGTGAGGAATCAAGGCACCAAAAGCCCACTATGCTTACTTAATCATAACTGTGTGGCAATACAAGCTGCTGTGAGATATTCTAACATGTTTGCCTTTACAAGAGAGCAGTATCATGAAGACTGTCACAATTCATGACTGACTTTAAGATAAAATGTTACAATGAAAGGTTTGAAGAAAAGCCACAAAAAGAGCATGACACAGTTGTTACTGAAACTGAAATCATGTTTGCAAACTGAAGAGACCATCTAGCCTTCCCTGGTGTTAAATTTGAGTCGTGTGTGTGTGTGTGTGTGTGTGTGTGTGTGTGTGTGTATCTAGTGGATGAGTTGATATAACTATCATTTTGAGAGATGTAAATGATTATTTGCTGTCAATCTCAACTAAAAATACTTCTAAAATATGTAGGATTTTTTCAGACTGTACAACTAAGATAAAGTGAATTCTCCTCAGTGACTACATTAAAATTAGATCACTAAAAACTTTCAATCTTTTGCATCAATGGCTGTGCCACTGGAAAAAAAGGTCCACAATATCAAGACATGGAGTATTCCTTATGACAATGCCTGGAGGAAAATCCCACCCCTATGTCTGCCTAGTAATTAAAACAATGGGTAATAAAGTTACTATCAAGTTTGAAAAAGAGTTAACAAGCTGAAACTATTATAAGAGTAAAATAAAAATAAATTACATCCTGGTTCAAGATGGAGGAAGTAGGACTGCCACTAATATAGCTAAACTCTGGGCAGCTAGACTGATAAACATCAGCAATCAGTAAAGCTGCATTTGAATTCACATCTACTGACCAGGGCTGGCATGTTGAGAACTCGGTAGTAAACACGTTGTGCCTCAGACAATTCAACAGTAAAGCTCAGATCCAGAAAATCATAGAAACTCAAGTCATTCCAAGGAAGTATCATTTTGCTCAGAAAAATAGTCAAAAAAAGAACAATTCTTCCCCATGTAACCAACCATCCTCTGAACCCACATAAATCCCACCAGAATACCCTAACAAAAATAGCATCCCTTAAAACCATTAAGTGAAGCCAAAAGCAACCCTCTACTATATCTATAGGAATTGACTATGACACTTCATTCTGGTCTCACTGTGGAGTCACCTGATAGCTTTTTTGGCCCTGATTTTATCCCAAGAGTAATGTCCTATATCTGTATCTCTTCTACTCTGATGACCAAGGATGGTCTTTATTGTTTTTCCAGGCTGCCCTGCAAGTATTAAACATGGCTCACTAGCTTCTGATCATAGGACTCAGTTGCAAGGCTTCACCTGTGTTACGATCTGAGTGTTGGTGTTCTTCCAAAATTCATAAGCTAAACTCTAATCCACAAGGTAATGTTGTTAGGAGGTGGAGCCTGGGAGATGATTAGCACAAGAAGGCTCCTTTTTCATGATTGAGATTACTGCCCTTCTAAAAAGAGGCCTGTGAGAGCTGCCTTGTCCCTTCCACCATGTGAGAACACAGCTAGGCTATACAATCTATGGAACCAGGAAACAGGTCCTCATCAGATATCAAAGGTACCAGCACCTGGATTTTAGATTGCCCATCCTCCAGAACTATACGAAACAAATTTCTATTGTTGATAAGTCACCCAGGCTACAGTATTATGCAATAGCATCCCCAATTGGGTAAGACAACCTGAAAGGCCACAGTCAGGTTTTCTGGGTCCACAGGAGCTCTGACACTTCTGCTAACGAATGTGGGCAACTACATAATTGAAATGCAGTCAAATCCCTATATTAAAAATTTAGGGGAACAGAGCAAATACTGTCTTACAAGTTAACAACAGTATAACAAGCGTTTGAAATGCAGATGTCACATTTTAAAGGACAAAGATGATAAATTGTGTATTTGAAAGTCTTTATAATGGTCAGGCACATTCTTCAATCATCTTTCTCTTAGTTCAGGTTGTTACGTAAATTTAGAGGCTATAAAGAGCCCCAAAGCTCTGCCCCAAAGGCTAAGACTCATAAATGTGACTATGTGCCTTTGCCATATGAAGAGGATCAGGCTGTTTTCACGAACATAATATAGTAATAAGCTGAAAACTTACTTTACTGTTATTTTCTACAACAGGAAATTTAACCAAACATGGAGGTTTCTTGAATCCACAGGGTTTTTATTAATTGCAAGACATAACATCCTGTGATAAGGCAGCTTAACTTCTGAAAAGGGTTCACTGCACAAAAACTGGAAGAAAGCTCTAATGAGCGATGAAGAGGTATGAAAAAACTAAAGCTGTACACACACACAAACATATATAAAATACCAAATGTAAAAATGTATAATTATAATTAGTATATATATATATATATATGTATATATATAGACTTCTTTCAAAATGCACCATGACAATGTTTACCTTAGATAAAAATCATGAAATTAGTAAAACTCTGCTACTAAAATAATTTTACTTGGATTAAATTTTAGAGATCCTAAAATATAATCCATTAGAATTTGCTAGTGTTCTCACTACTTTCCACTGGAAAATCTTTAGTATTCAATGGCAACAAAAGAAAATTTTGGTGAGGCCATGGCATTAATGTGCTTCTAAAGGTACCTAATTTTTAAAATTAAGAAAAACTTAAGGGAACCAAAGAAATTCAGGAATACTTTTAACTCACTACTAAAACCATAAAGTATATATGTATAGCTGCATATATAAATGCATTAATTAAATCAAAATAATCATTTAATTGCCTATTCTTATTACAACAGTTATTTAAAAATATTTTACTTGAAATGTATCATTTTTAAACTTTCACACTACCAGAAGAAGGAGGCACAATCATGTCTTTCTGCTTTGGAGATGAGTGAACCAAGGCTCATGGAGGTTAAATGATTTACCTGAGATTATTGATGTCATAGATGGCAGAGCAAAACCATAACCTAGGCCCTCAGATTACAGAGATGCTGCTTTCCTTAAAAAAAAAAAAAAAAAAAAAAAAAAAAAAAAAAATCACTAGGCATTGTGCTAGGCTCTGAAAAGATTCTAGGAAGAAAGAATTTGGTCCAGTTACCATCCTTAAGAAGTTTACAGACATCAAAAACTCACAGAGGCAATGAATATGTTTATTAATTAGAAAGATGCAAAAAAGCATGTTTCCAAAGAAAAGAATGAAGAAGATACCATTAGGTGCACATTTAATCTGGATAACAGAAACCCTGTGGAAATGTTGCAGCCAAACAGCTTTGAGGGGTTGTACAGCTCTTTCTACTCCATGTGATCAGTCTACTCAAGAATCGGTATAATGTGCAAAATCAAGTTCCTTTGCAATATCATGCCCTTAGAACTCCTCAGCCTCTCGCAGAATTAGAATGAGGATGTCGGAAATGGGTTATTGGCAGGAGTAATGAATGCTTCTGCTTTAATATTGGTTAGGAGTTTCAATTATAATCAAGTAAATGAACTTACTTCGAGAGAGATTCTCAAGGGCTTTCCCCAGCTTCTTGCTCTCTTGAAGGATGTGATTCAATTCATCAAAATCATGGCTTTGTGGTTTAGTCCTCCAGTTCCACTTTGGATGCTCTACTGACCTTGGCACTATGTTTAAAAAAAATGGTAATTTCATAAGCATGCTATGTAATGACACAAACTATTCATCATTATGTGAAAGATTGTACCGAGATCAATGTATAGAATAAAAAATATTTATCTTGCAGATGGTTTTCTTGTGAGAAAACAGAGGGGAAGATATGAAGCCAGATTTAAAGAAAATATTTTAACTGAAAAGGTAAAGGGAAGTGTGGTGGAGTTTATAGAAAAAAGAAAATTCAGGTATTGACTTAAACCTAATCATTTCTATAACACAGGGAGAAACACACAAGTAAAGTGTATTTGTGTATTATGTCAACAGCTTTAAAAAACACTAACTTCCTTAACAGCAACTGGTAATTATTTAGTAAATATTTTAGAGCATTCATAGGAGGCTAAATATATGTATTTATCCTCATGTGTCCCCAAGTTCCCACTGAAATGACATTACAGTGAAGGGATGTTTTTTCTTCAAAGAATTAGTTGAACTAACAGAGAAGACATTATTAGGTGAGACATAGCAATATATTTTGAGAGAAGATGCTACATGGATGGATAAGAGAGGTAACTGGATTTTGCAAGGCAAAAGAAAACTGAAACCTAAGTCTCTGAACAGAGGGATTCCATGAAAATCAACACATCACACTATTTAAATTTAAAGCTTCTGTCCAGGAGAACAATGTCAACATAATAATAATATAAGAACTTAATTGCTTTTCATTTTTAAAGGGCCCATTAAATGTCCAGCACAAGTCAAGGCATATTTTCAAAAAAAATGTTTTAATAGTGGCAATAAAGAAAACATTGTAAAACTTTTCAGGGGCAAAAATAGCAAATCAACTTGATGCCAGACTTCTCAATGGCAACGCTTGGCCTAAGAAGACAGAGAAGCAATTCCTTCCAAATTCCCACTATAGAGTACTTCTTAGAAATATATACCCAACTGAGGAACCAGTGAGGATACTTTGAAGAACTGAAAAAATTATCTTGGAAAAGGATCCTTTTTCAGAAAGCTCCTAGTAGAGGTTTTCTACCAAAATGAGCAAGTAAATAAAAAAATGGTAAGACTTGGATTTCAGGAAACAGGTGACCTCCACCCCCCAATGAGAAAAAGGAACGGGGAATTCTCAAGAAGGTAGTGAAACGCATTGTCAAAAGGCAGCTGAGAGAAAGTCTAGAAACCAAGGAGTCAAGCATGGAGCAAGAGGACAGAGGGCTTCAGAAGAGAAGGCTCTAAAATTTTTAAAATAAAGAATAACTATAAAATAGAAGTTAAGATTACTTGTGGTGTCTGATCATACTGAGGTTTAACTCTTTGGGCAGGGTTTGGCAAAGCATTAGTGATGGGTACATAGTAAACAAAGCAAACAGAAAAGCAAAAGAACTATCAATTCTAGAAAAAAAATAATAGTTGGACATCGTATAGCTTAACTGCGAACAATTTTAATTAATTAATCATAATACCAATGTAGAGTACATATTTAATCAACATTTGAAATAACTGCATTACTATACAACCAGGATGAGATGGGGTTAGAGGTTGGGGCACAAGGTATGAAAGAGATCAAGAGATAATGCCTCAGATTTAAAAAGGAAGAGAGCCTTTCGTTTGATTGTGTAGATTTAGGAACCAGAAGCAACACCTAAAAGACGTGAAAGTGATTGCAGGTTAGGAGCCGAGTTGGGAAGAAAAAAGGACACTACTGCCTCATAGTATTACTTAAACTTTTTTGAATCATGTGCCATTAAGTTTTGATAAAAATAAAATAAATTTTTAAAAAAGTATTTATATGGTAAGGACATAGGAAGTAATCGCCAACTAATGAAATATATCATTCCGTCACCTTTATATAAAGTAACCTGGCAATATATATTATGATGAAAAGTGCACTGACCCTGTGACCCAGCAATCTTATGTCTGGTAAACTCATCATAAAGAAATAAAAGCACCTGTATTCATGTACATATGTACAAAGTTGTTTATTTTCACAGAAAGTACAAGACTTCATTTATTTCAGCAAATAGTTTGTGGCTGCAAAATCCTGTTAATAATCTAAATGTCCTTCAATGAAGGAATGGTTGAATAAATTATCTCACATTCACACTGTATACACTTATTTTAAAAGGCAAGTTAAATCTAAGTATTTTACCATAAAGATACTTCCACAGTACATTTTCTTTTTTATTTGTATTTGTACAAATATATAAGGTATATATGAAATTTTGTTACATGTATGCAACACATAGTGATCAAGTCACTGTATGGCTTAACTGTAAACAATGTTAATTAATCATAATGTCAACATAGAGTACATATTTAACCAACACTTAAGAGTGTGCATCCACTGAGAGAATACTTGTGTTAACTATAGTCATCCTACTCTTCCATCAAACACTGAATTTATTCCTTCTATCTTACCATATGCTTACACTACCCTTTAGCCCACTTCTCTCATTTTCCCCCATCCCCAATCATCCTCTCAGTCTCTGTTATCTATCTTTCAATCCCTTACCTCCAGGTAATCAGCTTTATTAGTACCCACATATAAATGATGACATGCAATATTTGTCTTTTTGTGCCTGGTTTATTTCACTTACGATAATAACTTCCAGTTTCACCACGTTGCTGAGAATGACGTGATTTCATTCTTTTTTTTTTTAATGACCAAATAGTATTTCATTGTGTATACATTCTACGTTTTCTTTATCCATTTATCCACTGATGGACACTTAGGTTGATTCCACATTTTTTCTATTGTGAATAGTGCTGCAATAGACCTGTGAGTGCAGGTATCTTTTGGAAATATTCTTTGATTTTCTTTTGGGTAGATATCCAGTAATGGGATTGCTGGATTGAATGGTGGTTCTATTTTAAGGGTTTTTGAGAACTCTTCATACTGTTCTCCATAGTTACTATACTAGTTTACCTTCCCACTAACAGTGTATAAGAGTTCCTTTTTCAGCCAGGAGCAGTGACTCATGCCTGTAATCCCAGCACTTTGGGAGGCAGAAGCAGGCAGATCACAAGGTCAAGAGTTTGAGACTGGCCTGGCCAACATGGTAAAACCCCGTTTCTGCTAAACAAACAAACAAACAAACAAACACAACAACAAACAAAACAAACAAACAAACAAAAATTAGCTGGGCATGGGAGCAGGCGCCTGTTGTCTCAGCTGAGCAGGAGGTTGAGGCAGGAGAACTGCTTGAACCTGGAAGGCAGAGGTTGCAGTGAGCTGAGACTGTGCCACTGCACTCCAGCGTGGGTGACAGAGTGAGACTCCATGTCAAAAAATAAAAATAAAAACAGTACCCTGAGTCCCCTTTTCTCTGCATCCTTGACAACATCTCTTATTTTTCTTTTTAATAATAGCCAGACATTTTATTTTAAAATAATAAAAATACATTGCTTAAGAATATGTACAGTTTAAGGCCATTTTTATACAGCAAACCAACCCATCCATTTCATATCTGTTAATATGCACAAAGAAAAGAACATACAAAGATGCATACTATTTCTAGGGTAGTAGCATTTGAGGGAGACAAGCGAAGGAGACTATTTCTCTTTCTACGGGTCTGTATATTTTAAATTGTCAAAATAAATCAATACTACTTCTGTAATTTAAATAAACCTAGAAATTAAAAATTAAAAATGAATGCAGCTGCCTCATCTGAGCTTCTTGATTTAAGAGACCCTGGGACAGGGATATAAGCTAAAATTAACACACCAGTGTGCTAGTAGCAGAGTGTAGATACAGTGACCATAATCAATCTAGAAAACACTTCCACACCCATGACTGCTACCTCACTGGCCATTCCCCAGGTGAAGCCTATGGAAAAATCTAGGTTCAAGAGAGAGAAGTTCAGATGACAGAGTGGAGAAAACAATATTTGTATCAGATTCTTCAAAACTTTGACACTTTTGTTAATCTTTGAATAATTTCTCTAATCTGCAATCTGTATCACTGCACGACCTCATTTTCTGTTAATCACTATATGCTATCAAGGTCTCTCTTTATTTTTTCTTTCTAATTTACAAAATAAGAACATAGGTTTTTTTTTTTTTAAGTCCGAGTCAATATCCCCAGATACCCACCAGACACAGCCCAGCCTCCCATCACCCCAGCTGAGCCCAGCACCTGACAACCTACCCAATGACTGCACCACGTGGGCATGTCAGGTGAGGCCAGCAGAAGAACCAGCCAGTCTACATACAGAATCATGAGAAAGCAAAAATTGTTGCTGTTTTCAGCCACTGAGTTTTGGGAAAATTATACGCTGTACAATAGAGAACTAATTAATACAACACCCAAAAACTTTTCCTTGACAACTTTTGAGAGGAACTAAGATCAATTTCTTTTTATGTTTTTGTAGCTTGTGACAGTATGAGACATACAATAGCTTTTCTTTTATAACTTATCTTGTGTAACTTATCATGGGAACCAAATCTAGGACAACCAAAGCCATGGTATAATCAGGATCTAATCAGTAGGATGGGTGATTTAAAAAGCTGTTTTGACAAGTAATGGAAAGAAATTTGGGAAGTCATTAAGCTGGTATACTGTCTTTGGATGAGGACATCTCTAAAATTCTCTGATAGATCGAAAACCTTATTTAAGTCATCCTATAGCTTAAAAGTAAAGGGCTACTGTTTAAAAATGTTTTTTTTTTAAAAAATATCCACAGGGAAAACGAGAAACAGAACAGTGTCAACTATGTAATAACACCTATAGGAGAATATGACAGAATCTGAGATTGGAGAGTCTTTGGGGTCACAGAGGTAGAGCTTGCTCTAGTGCAGGAGGCCACCCACAGCACCTTGCAGATGACTTTTCCTCAGTCTTCCCTGAAGACACTATGCTACAAAGCTGCCTATTGTATATTAATGAGGGCTAATTTTTGAGCAATTCTTTATTATAATCATCAAATTCTGACTCAATATGACCTCCACTAATAGTGTCTATGAATGTAAAATTAAATTTACCGTTTTCTCCACATCACATTTGAGATAC